CAACTGTCGGATCCCTCTCTTTCTCTATCTATATTTTTCCTTCCTTCTCTCTACAAGTTTCCCATTATTTGTTTTCTTTTCAAGAATCGATCAATCCAAGTGTTGACCAAAAGTCCATCTCTGTCTCACCCTCCTCTTCCACCACAACCACCGCCAGTTGCCCCGCCGCGGGATGGAGGTGGGAGATAGAAGTTGAAGAGGAAAGTGATTGGTGGCATAAAATGCGATTATGCGAGGAAAATTGTTTTGTGATTAAGGATTTACAGTATTTATTCTTTTGATGATTTGATTATATTATTTAGATGCCATGGCTTATCAACATTATCGATCACCATTTGGTGACACAACTTATACTAAGGTTTTTGTTGGAGGGCTTGCCTGGGAAACTCCTACTGATGTAATGCGAAGATATTTTGAACAGTTTGGCGAAATTCTTGAAGCTGTGATCATCACTGATAAGAACACTGGAAAGTCGAAAGGATACGGATTCGTAAGCAAATATAATCTTTATTATACTCTATTGTATGATCATATAGTCGACTCTAAATTTTAAAAGGTGGCATTTTTTATTAATAGGTGACTTTCCGCGATCCTGAATCAGCTAATAGGGCTTGTGCTGATCCAAATCCTGTAATTGATGGAAGAAAGGCAAATTGTAATATTGCTTCAATGGGGCGGCCTCGACCCTCACCACCTAGAGGTACACTTTTTTCTTTTATTTTTCTTGTTTTAGTCAAATCCAAATTTATTGAGAGACGAACGAACTTGATTGTTTTCATTTGTAGGCAGAAATCAATTGGGAAACCCATATCAGGGAGGTGGAGTAGCACAGGGTGGATCATCATCCTATACGCCAATACCTCCGCCTCCTCCACCGCCTCCTTCGGTCGTCTATCCACCTTATGGGTATGTTTTGCTTGTCGAAATTACATGGAATATGGTCCCTAAGTCATTACTATAGAAAAAGAGAAAATATTTTAATAGCTGGCATGCAGTTGGTCTTGGCAGATGACAATAAATAATTTATG